GGAATTGGAAGGAGAAACAAGACTGTTAAAGTGAAACGTACTCGACGCCCATTCACCAAAGATCGTCGAGCCGACATGTGCAGCCATCGTTCAATCGACATGAAAGTCATAACCAGTACGGTCAAGGCGATGAGGTAGGTACCACAACCTTCAGCAATAATCTTTGCGATGACAAGAAACGCCACAGAATCTTTAATTTCTTGAGGTTTCTTCAAACAAATCATCTCAGCTGCAACAAAAAAAGGCTGCGTCACTAGTCCTGTGCAAAAATCGGCAAAAGCCAATCCACATAGAATGATAGAGGAGGTTGTTCTAAGAGACTGGTTCGTCCATATTGTCATCAAAATCAAGGCATTTCCTGTCACAGCTATGGGCGACATAAGAGTGACAATCAGTGAAATTAAGAATTTAACTGCACTAAAAGCTGAAGTGTGGTCTCTGGCAACTCCGTCAAAGCTGCAAAGGCCGAGGAAGGAACTGTATAGAGATATTACAGTCGTGTTATTTGACATGGTGATCAGCTCTGAGAGAAGTATTTTTCAAGCACGTTTTTTTTTTTCTTAAGACAATATCAGAAGCTCAAAGAAATAAACAATTCGTTGTTTATAATTACTGTTTATTTTTTTCTAAGAGGGCACGGTAACGAATCCTGTAGTCTGATTGGTTCTTAAGACGGCCATGATTTTCCTACCTCTGATCGCATGACCACGGTCACGGCAATGCACGCGCGATGTATGCGTGGAAAAGGTCAACAATAATAAAAGTGATCTGAGGGAGAGGGAAAGAATAAAAATATATATATATATATTTACCAGCTTAGGTAGTAAACCTCCTTCCTCTTCTATCAGAAGAAGACTAAATTTTGTGCTGGCAAACCAGTTGTGTTCCGGATGTAACAGTTAATGAGTTGGAAACTTGATAGCGATTATCTCGATAAATGATCTGGGCGCTAAATGAAAATTTGAAGTTTCTGTCACTTTTAGTCTTCATGACTAAACAGACTTAATTTCGCCTTCTTATGGTTAATAAAGATCTGAATGCAGATGTGGGATTTAATTTCAAAATTTTAAGATGGAGGAAGTAAGAAAGAGATAAGCTCCAATGAAAATTAAGGTTTTCCTGTAACGCTTTAAAAGTATGTTATTCCAAGGGGAGTCGTCTTTCAAGGCGCTCAAGACAAGAAAATGAACCGTATATGTAGATTAACAGTTACAACTACCACAAGAGGCTTTTGAAGACATGATTGATCATCGCAGTTATATGCACAACTTTAGCAGTTGTGAAATTAAAGCCTGAAAAAAAAAAAAAAACAAAAGTAAAAAATAAAAATGAAAAATAAATAAATAAGATAAAATAAAAAAATAAAAAAAATTCAGGCCTGAACGAGATTCCAACCCATGATCTCTGCGATACCGGTGCAGTGCTCTAACAACTGAGCTATCAAGCCAACTGGGAGCTGATCATATTGTGAGTTCGTCACATACCCGTAGGTGGTGACGAATGCAAGTGAATACATGAAAGATCATATATTTGAACTGTGGAGAAAGTTATGAAGACATGATTGATCGTCGCAGTTATATACACAACTTAAGTAGTTGTGAAATTAAAGCCTGAAAAAAAAAAAAAATTCGGGCCTGAACTGGATTCGAACCAATGACCTGTGCGATACCGGTGTAGTGCTCTACCAACTGAACTATCAAGCCAATTGGGAGCTGATCATTTTGTGAGTTCGTTAATTTTTTTTCAGGCTTTAATTTCACAACTGCTTAAGTTGTGTATATGATTGTGATGGTCAATCATGTCTTCATAACTTTCTCCGCAGTTCAAATATATGATCTCTCATATATTCACTTGCAAAAGAGGCGTTTCTCGGAGTCGTGGCACTCAAATTTGGACAGCACCGCCATCAACGAAAGGAAACCGCTCCATCTCGCTTACCTGCCTTTGATTAGATTCAAAATCAAGAAAATGACTGAGTTGAGAGACAACACACGACGCCATGTTGGACGAGAACACGTGCTACTTTATTATGTAGCCCAGAGTGCAACGCGCACCCTAACAACTGCGAACGGGCTTGTAGCGCGAGTAGTAACGAGCTGTGACGAATGTGGACAGAAGCCACCGAAAAATCAGAAAAGCAAAACCAGATCGGATTTGAAAAACCTTAGAAAATGTCTAACATCGGAAGTAGTAATTTCAGTCACATGAAGAAACATTTGTATTTTGATTTTAGCGCTGTTTACTTTTTGCAGTTGCTCTTTGCTCTTTCAACCTTACCGAAAGGACACAACATTCAGCCTTTGTTTACAGTATACAGCTAAGAAAAGAGAATACCCTGAAAGGGAATCATCGCACACGAGGCTTTTGCAGATGTAATCAGTTCCTGGAGCTTTATATTTGAATCGGATCACTTTGACAGAATAAAAGAGGGTATAAGGAACGGTTGATTAAAAATCTCACAGCTGATAATCAAGCTCCAATATTCATTTCCAACTTTAATTTAAAACTACGACAAAACTGTGTACGTAATTGAAAAGTGGTCGACAAGATCTAGAGGTGGTAATAAGAAGGTTGTAAGTTAAATAAAACGCGCTGTTGTGTTATATTTAAAAACATGAATCATGTAAAATGTAAAGCAATAATCTTGATTCTGAATGCGAACCTTAACCGGCCGTTAACGGTGATGACTGTGACTANAATGTAGAGAAAACCTGTAAATAGTCAAATTTTGTAAAAGATGTTTCTAACATAAGTCGTGAAGTTAACTAACTTGTAGGGAGCAGGAATACTTTCAGCGATAATCTCTAATTAAGTTGGTTCATGCTTAGAAATGTCAATGAATGGACCGCATAATTGCTGTGTTAGGAGCACGGTATTCGAGCAATGTACATCCCGACCTGGACCGTTGAACTTTTTTCTATAACTTGATCCTTCCACGTCCAAAGTCAAATTTGCTGGTCTTACTTTTGAGTATAAATGAACCCCTTGTGTGTAACTATCCGTCGTAGTAGTTGTAAAGTTGACACCTGTCTTATTCAGTAGTTTTATGCTACTAATACTGTGTAAAAATAAATCGTTAGCACTACTTTTTGCTAGTTCTGATCGTGTTTCTGTTATTTGGGTATTGTAAAAAAATGTAACATTAAATAACTAGTTTTCAGCCTTGAGTGAAAGGTGAGTGAAAGGATGAAAAGAATAACTACTTTTCATGTATAAGTAAAGCAGGAACTGATGCATTAGCGAAGAAGAGATCTTTGGAATGTTTGAGGAGGAGGACAGGGGAACAGTGCAACCAATGATACATGTAGCTTTGAAAATCATCAAGCGTTAGTTAAAATAAAAACGTTAATTCAATGAAACGTTGAATTTTCCTGTAATCCTTCAAAAAATGAACTGTGCATGCTCGACAAAGACGTATTTTAGGCTAAGTATGAAGGCTGAGTTACAAAAGCCAAAATGTAGATTGTGATTCATCAGTCAGAGAACTAAAACATGTAGGGAATATCTCCTCAAAGGTTTTCTTTTTTTCTATATTATGCAAAAACATACATGTAGAGTCTTTTCCCCTGAGCCTTATATCAAACCGATTAAACAAACTTCAGAATTACGTATATGTGTCTATGAAGCATGAAATAGATCAGAAAAGGGCTGTATGATAAAAATTTTGATCCAAGTTAAATGCCACTGAGCGAGGAAAATAGAAATTAAAAACTCACTTATGCTAGGCTTGATAGATTGATTTAAGAAGTAAGTTCAAAAGTAGACATCCACTGATATAAAATATTGATGTGCAACAAAAGGAAGATGGACAGAAATTAATTAAATGTCGTAGAGTTGTTAAGAAACGTCTGAAATTTAACCTCGATTCTCAATTTAACATAATCTCGTATTTAAGTAACTCTGCTTCTTTTTATTAAGCCTGATGGATAAATTCGGAACAAAGACAAATATAGTTCTGATGAATATCAAAGATGAGTGCATTAAAATTTGTCAGCAAAGAACGGCTAAAGAGTAAACCATTGATTGTTCTCTGCGTAGAGACCAAATCAAAAGAAAGATCAGAAAACCTGTACTGTAAAGCAGCTGATTTAACAGTCGAGAAGCAAAGCAACTAAAACTTTTGTTATCTTTCAATCTTACAACATTTGAACTATTCTATTTTTATGGAAAGGAGAGAGAATACCAATTCTTTTTCTTTATAGGAAAGATAATCCCACGAAAATGAAAAGAAAAATATCAGAGTTTCTTCAAATGAAAAGCCACGCGACATTTTTAATTTATGATACTTTATTAATTCATTTATTAGTGTTTTTCCTTGCATAAGCAATTAGAAATCCAATCAATCAATGGATCAATCAAAACTGTTACTGAAAAGGTGTAGATGAAAACCTCCGCACTCAGAGATCTCTTCCATTTTGGAAATTATTTATAGTACACATGTCTAGCAGGATACGTGGCATCTTTGTCGTAGGTTAGCACTTCGAGCAGTTCCATTTACATGTTATCCATCAAGTTACCAAAGAGCAAGGTTGCAGTGATCACTGATGGCAATTACCACCAACGTCTCTATCCTTTGTAGCTTTGATGGCGTGACGGACAGGAAACAAAATTCTGCTTATGACGAAGCGATTTTACTACTTTCAATAGTTATCGCTGTTCTCTCGCCGATTGCAGTGACAGGAAATGTTTTAATTTTGGCAGTAATTTGGAGGAATCGGACCTTGCGAACTCCCTTCTACATGTTCCTTGGTGGATTAGCTTTAACCGACCTATCCACAGGACTTATTACTCAGCCATTTTATGTTGCATCCCAGTTTATTTGTTCGGAGGGGCCCCAGGAAATCGAGGGCCGTCAGACGTTTCTCTTTCTAGCGAGAGTAATTACTGGTGGCTTTGGAAGTTACTTGATATACGAGACGGTCCTGATTCTCACATGCATGTCAATTGAAAGATGGTTGCAGATGTCGCGGAGATTCTTGTTTACCCAGCGTCGAGCGCGTTTTATTGTCGCTGGGATAACTCTCGCTCCGATCCCATTCTCTGTGTTTCGCAAGTTAAACAACTTAACGGGTAGCTATGAACATGTTTTAACAGTTTCCTTCGCTTTTTTATTACTTTGTCTCATTGCCATATCGACATCGTATTTTAAGGTTTTCCGAATTATTCGATGTCACCAACAACGAGTGCAAGCCAGAGAAACGCCTCAGATTTCAGGTCAACCGGCGATAAACTTGGCAAAATACAAGAAGTCTGTGTTTTCTATTCTGTACATTNTTAACCGACCTATCCACAGGACTTATCACTCAGCCATTTTATGTTTCATCCCAGTTTATTTGTTCGGAGGGACCCCAGGAAATCGAGGGCCGTCAGACGTTTCTCTTTTTAGCGAGAGTAATTACTGGTGGCTTTGGAAGTTACTTGATATACGAGACGGTCCTGATTCTCACATGCATGTCGATTGAAAGATGGTTGCAGATGTCGCGGAGATTCTTGTTTACCCAGCGTCGAGCGCGTTTTATTGTCGCTGGGATATTTCTCGCTCCGATCCCATTCTCTGTGTTTCGCACGTTAAATAACTTAACGGGTAGCTATGAACATGTTTTGACAGTTTCCTTCGCCTTTTTATGGCTTTGTCTCATTGCCATATCGTCATCGTATTTTAAGGTTTTCCGAATTATTCGATGTCACCAACAACAAGTGCAAGCCAGAGAAACGCGTCAGATTTCAGGTCAACCGGCGATAAACTTGGCAAAATACAAGAAGTCTGTATTTTCTATTCTGTATATTGTGCTATTATTTTACATTAGTTACGCTCCTTTTATTGTCTTTTTCGGGATCTATCGCTCTCTCAGGGATCACTCTGTGGTAGAACTGGCTTATGTTATGTCGTTGACGTCTGTATTTTTGTCTTCTTCGCTAAATCCTCTTATTTATATTTGGAGGATGAATGATATTCGCAACGGGGTCAAACAACTGATTTGGAAGTACATGTAACACTAAAGGAGCAATGTCTTTAATTTGTAATGCTTTAAGATAATGTAATGCATAGAGGGAAAATTGTGAACTGAAAGAGGGAAAGGATGGGTTCAAAAAAGCAGCCTATGTCAAATATAAGGTGGCTAATGTAACTTCAAGTGTTGATCGGCTCGACTCTGTTTATTCAACATGTTGCAAACATGGTACTGTGGCCCTGTTCTTGTGAAAATTGGAAAGGTATTAATTGCTGAAATAATATTGTGTAATAATATAAAACACCAAAAATGTTCAAAATGAAATATATTTGGAATGGTGTCTTTGCTAAATTTATTATTCCTTATCGAAATGCATCAGGTGTAATAAAGGGCATTTGTTTTCCTTTGGTTGATGGATTTGTTCACTCACAACTGTAAATAACATGACATACACGCAGAGTAAGGTGATTACACATTGTACAGCTGACAAATCAGAGTTGTCCATTTACTAAGGTAATAATGTGTCATGGTAAACTTTATCCTCTCTAAAGACACTGGCACATGAACGATGTAATCAAACGCACGGTGGGAGCTGAACGAACGTTTCAGAATAGGGGACACGCTTGGCAATGAACGCGAGAAGAGAACCCTGCCGCATAAAGCTACATAAGCTTTGTTAGCCTGAGAACAGTAAATCCAAAAATATATCTGGGAAGTCAGTGGTTTCTCGCGACAATGTCCAAACGGGAAACGTAAAGTGTAGGAGTAATTTTGAAGATGGAGATTCATTCAGGACTGAAAGAGAAGAACCGTGCATGGTATGGTACCGTTTGACATATATTGGTGCCATCTTTTCATCTATATCTCAACAATGATTCGAGTCGTGCAAAAAATGATTCATTGTCAAATGCAAATAAGTTTCCAAAGGAAATCAATTACAAAGGAGAGCATTATGAGTTCGCTGTTTACCATTTATTGATAAGCTTTGTACCTTTCTATTTGAAATTAATGCTAATTGCGCACTCAAGGACCGGATATATAGTACACATGACGGGTCGGAAGGAGGAATATTAAAGCGGCGAAGTAGGTTCAAAGCAAGGTGGCTCTTAAATTTTGTTAAAGGCAATCTGACTTTTACGTTTACAATACAGCAGCTGTATACCCGCTTTTGGAGCTGAGTGTGCATTATCTTTTTGTAGATGCACGGTTGGAAATTATACAGCGGGATGTTTTCTTGCCAACACAATCACCGCCCCTTCTCAGATGCACATAATTTCGATTTTCACGAGATATTCTAATCGAATAGACTTCATCAGCCTCCAAGGTAATCTATCAAACACGAGAGATCGTGTTCTATCACATTTCTAAACACCAAGAAGAGAAATGAAATTGCAGAAGTCGAAGTGAATGGAATTGCGTTGAAGCACTGTTTAGAGTGTTTGCTATACCTTCTTAATCAAAACTACAACTAGGGAAAAGACGGAGAATCAAAATCGTAAAAATCTATGCGAATTCAAATCCGATGTCCAAACACCATTACAGTTATGATTTGTCAAAGTTGATGAATTATCAATGAGTTTGAGAAGGGCTGCAGGTCAACATCGTCGTCGGGTTGCGCCATCTTGGGGGCTTGATATTAATCACTATTAACACCATTAGATTGAACACATCTCACGGAAAGAGCTATTTTAATTTCTTGAAGTAATCGAAATCTACAACAATAAATTTTTCTGAATATTTTAAGTTCGCCCTGCATAAGCAAGCTATAAGCTAACAGCTTCATTCTTTACATTCTGTGTACCGTTAAAATGTCTCGGTGTAGCCCTGCCATATATCATTTATCATTTCTTGTTACTGATTTTATTCGGTTTTAATATTCGACAAGGCAGTTTACAGCCAAAAATAGGCCAAGTTCGATATATTAATATTCTAACATGGCTCCGAGGCTTTCAGGTCAAAATTGCAAATTTTGTAAGTTTGTTTTGTCCCTCAATAGACCAATTTCGATATTTTAAAATTCAGCCTAAGACAATAGACCTCAGCACGAGGCCATAAACTCTGTAGTTATTCCCCAGAGCCTCGTGCTGAGATCTATTGTCTTGGGCTCAATTTTAATATACCGAAATTGGACAGGACACTTGGATACAAAGAAAACAACACCAAATATAGGCGTTTGTCTCGAAAGCCTTTGAACCATGTTACTGACATTTCGAACATGGCCTATTGCAAAGAAAAAATGACAGCTTTGCATTTGAATATAAAGGTGATATTTGATATTATGTTTCAAAATGTTGCGATTTAGGTAAGATCAAATTTTACACTGACTTCCTGATATCGTCAACTATATGCATTTTAAAGTGTCTTAAGCGTATAGACCAGAAAAGTGTCATTTTATGACACTAATACATTCATCTGAGTTCTTCTTTAGTTGTCCACCTTACAAAATAGTTGCTTCAGCAACTGCTTTACACCATTGCGAATATCACTCATCCTCCAAAGGTAAATGAGAGGACTAAGCGAAGAGGACAAAAACAAAAATGACGCTGACACTGTAGAAAACAACTCTAATTGAGAGTCCTTCAACCAGATGGATAGTCCAAGGAAGAAAAGGACGAGCACGAAACCAATGTAAAATACTCCTAAAATATAAAGCATCGAGAACACAGATTTTTTGTACTTTTTTAAGTTGATTGCCTGATGGCAAAAGTTATGAGCCGGTTCGTTTGCTCGAATTTGTCGTTTGTGACTCCGAATGATTTGAAAGACTTTAAAATAAGCAAGCGTTGTGCTTATAGTACAAAACAGGAAAACGAAGAAAAAGGTGATAGCAGTAGCGAGTCGATACGTATTATTGAAGATGCGCAAAAAGTGAAAGACTGCAAAAGGAATCAGAAGAAGTGAGACTGCTACCATGATAAAATGGATACGGCGAACAGTCAGCAAAGTTCGGCGAGCCATGTGCAGCCATCTTTCAATTGCCATCAGTGTAAGAAGCGACACAGACAAGAAACAAATGTAAGCACCGCATCCATATGTAATAACTGCAGTAGAAATTTGGAATAAAGGCAGACTGTTTATCTTCTGTGGTGTTTCCAAACAAATAAGTTCGCCTGCAACAAAAAAAGGCTGGATGACGAGTCCATTGCAAAGATA